GAAAAGTATTTTATCGTCTTTATAGTTGATTTTTTACGTTATGGATATATCTATTTGTTACATTAAAAATCTCAAGTAATGGGTACTCTTGAAGTATATATAAATGAGATTGAAAAATAACTAGATAGAAAAGTGAAAATCATAAGGTTATATAGAGGTGGTGAATATTATAGAAAATATGATAAAACGGGTTAATACTCTAACCATTTGTTAAACTCTTTGAAATGTATGACATTTGTGCTCAATACACTTTGTTATACGTGCCACAACAGAAGCGTGTAGCTGAAAGGCGTAATCGTACTCTTATGGATATGGTTAGGAGTATGTTAAGTAATTTCTCGTTACCTATAACGTTGTGGATATTAAGTAATCTAAAGGGTACAAGTTTTACTATCTTAAACATAGTACGATAATTATTGAAACCAGTACTGATAAATTCATTAAGAATGGTGAAATCAATGGGAGTGATAAAAATAAGAATTTGATCATTCCAGGGCACAAATCTCTTTACCCATAACTTATAAGGAAATAATTATTCCTTCAATTGTTGAACTGTATAACAACGAAGAATAATTGAATAATCAACAACTTCATAATGAGATTGTCACTAATGAATAGATTGTAGAAGAATCATAAGGAATAACATTAAGACGATTTCAAAGAGAAAGGAGATCTGTTATTCCGGATGACTATGTGATACATTTGCAAGAATCTGATTTTGATATATAATGAGATATATACGGATCCAGTTACATATTTACAAGCCATTAACAGTAATGATTTTACTAAATGGATTAGTGCCATGAATGAAGAGATTATAAAGAAACATTTTTTCCAGTATCTAAGAAGGAATCTTTTAAAATATCATGACATTAGCAGCTTATTATAATTTAGAGTTACATCAAATGGATGTGAATACAATTTTTATGAATGGGAATTTATAAGAGTAAGTCCATATGGAACAACCTAAAGGCTTCACATTAGAGGGTAAAGAATTCATGGTCTGTAAACTTAAGATAGGAATATATGAATTTAAACAAGCTTCCTAACAATGGTATATTAAGTTTAATAATACCATTATTTTTTTTTTTTTTTGGTTTTAAGGAAAATATTGTTGATCAGTGTATATACTAGAAGGTTAGTGGGAGTAAGTTTATATTTCTGATTTTATATGTTGATGATATTTTGTTTGGTAGTAGTGATCTTAGTTTATTATAAGAAACTAAAAGTTATCTCTAAGAACTTTGAAATGAAATATATGAATGAGGTATCCTACGTGATAAGAATAAAAATATTCCACGATAGATCACGTGAATTTTTAGAATTGTCTCATAAATAATATATTGAAAGAGTTCTAGAAAGATTTGGTATGGAATATTATTCAACCAGTATTGTTCTATACATAAAAAGGGGATAAATTCAGCATAATGCAATCCTAAAGAATGAGTTAGTTAGAAGGTAAAGAAACAAAAAATATTCTTTATACATATATTGTAGAGTTTGATGTATATATAAGTTGGTAAGGGATAAAAGATTATATGCTCATGTCTAGGAAGACATTTTTATGAATATGTGGATAATAATTAATTCACAATTGGTTATTTGTTCCTTTTGGCTGGAAGAACAATATTATGAAAAAGTGTAAAGTAATTTATTATTACTTTGTCTATTATGAATTTTTAAATTGTAGCATGCTTTGAAGTTACAATTTATGGTTGCAGAATTTATTTCAAGAATTGGAGTTACGGGTACCATTTCCAGATTGCTGAAAATTTATGCTGCAATTGTTGATTTTCTTATATGAAAAATGATAGTTATTCTAAAGTTGAAATATTTTATCATTAAAGAAGATATTTAGAAATAACGAATGTCTATTGAACATATAAGCACACAACTTATGATTGCAATCCATTAACGAATAAACTACCACCCAAGACATTTATATAACATGTTAAAAGAATGTGTCTTGAATGTAGTAAATAATGATTATTTTTTAACTGTGGATTGTTTAACAGTGCTTATATATATTTAACATTTTGCGCTCATTATATGTGTTTATGATATTTCCTATTAAACAATGTACATGTACGTAATACTTTGATGGAATAGTCTTGAAAAAGACCTTATTGTTAGATCATTATTGATACTTCTCATTTATATACTATGTTGAATAGGCTACTAGTATTGTGGTACATGGAAGAAACTGTTTCATTTAGTGATATACAACCGCCATGACTCGCATTGATAAATTATTTACCATGGTATTTATGATGACTAATTTAACGAGTCAATCTGATTTATGGTGCACACTAATGACTATTTTACTAAACCACTACAGAAGTTATCATATGGGTCAAGTGGGAGACTGTAAGATATTTTCTTATATTTGTGGCCCACATGATTTGGACACGTGATTTATTTCTATTATTTGGTGGTTAAATAAAATAGATATCAGATTAATATTATATTATTTGGTCAACTTATAAATTACCTTTTTGGTAATTAATTATTGGAGAAGTGTTTCCTATTTATTCCTTACTTTGATGGAAAGTGAAATTAAAGTTACAAAAACGAAAACTGGTCCTCTTTTTGCCTTTATAAAAATGCATATTCTCATCAGTTATATACCCTAATGAAAATAACACGTATAAACTTTTATGTGTGCAAAAGGCGAAGAAAGAGAAATCAGTTTCCACGCTTTGCCTATTGTTTGGAGTTGCAGCTTAATTTATTGTGAAATGATCTCGACGTTTGCCTTGATATCTACGATATTTGCAATTACAGATCGAAGTATTTATATTTAACTATTTATTTATACATTATAGATATGTGAGAATAATGAAGTTCTAAGATTTGGGATTCATATTTATTTGTGGTTAATGATTTGCACGAATAATTAAAGTTTACATACGCATCCTGAGTAAGAATTAATTGTAATAAATATTGTGGACATAATACTTTTTATTCATGATCTAGATTATATATATATATATATATATATCCCCACATAATATTATATATATAAAAATTGACGTATACCTACCTATTCATGTGTCATTTAAAAGACATTAGAAATGTTCCATTCTTCGGGAAAATTACCACCAAATTATATTATTTTTTATGAAAAGACAAGTAAGTCCTTAAAATTTTACTTTAGGACCAATAATAAGTCTTACTTTGAATTTTTTTTTTCTATCTATATCCTAAATTACTAAAATTTTCATTTATACCCTTATTGAATAGAAGTAAAATTTTATGTATAGTTCATATATATATTTTTTACATATATATGCTTTTGTAAGTTTTAGTTACTAAATAATATTGTATTATGATTTTAAATAATAATTAATCTAATTTAAATTCAATTTGAAAACTCTTGTGTAGAATTCACGACCCCCCCCCCCCCCCCCCCCAAAAAAAAAAAAAAATTTATTCTATAAAAAAATCAATGAAATGTATTTATTTTTTTTATTTTTTTCCTTTTCATTAAAATTTTAGGTCTAATTTTGCAAGGTATAAATGAAAGTTGATTTAATATATAATTTAGCAAGGGTATATATGAAAGATTGAGCGATGTAGGACTTCAATGGAAAAAATCTCAAAAGTAGGATTTATTGATCCTAAAGAAAAAAATTTAAGACTTATTTGTCTTTCAATAACAAAAGTAGGACTTGTTAGTAATTTTTTCTCTCTCTCTTTTTTTTTTTTTTAGTTTTCTAATTACTCATTTGCAAAATGTTGCCTGTCAGTCTATTCATTTGCTGATAAATCATCCTCACTTCATATAAAAGTATCCTACAAAGCTATACTAAAAAGTACATGCACAAACTTTGTTACCAAAATGGAGATGCATGCATTAGGCTTTTGAAATATATGAAAACTGACATGCAACAGATCTAGAAAGATTGCAAAGTAGAAAAAGTTTCACTTTGTGCCTTTTTTTGTTGACATTAATTTGACAACTTTCACAATTTTTACATGTTTGTAGCATATGATCTAAAATAAATGCAAGGGACTTGACCACTTGACTCCATCAAATTACACAGAAACACACACACAAGGTCAAAAAGAAAAGAAAAATCAATCTAAAGTTTTATCAAGATTTGTCAAGGTATGCATTACACAAAACGCTATAGATCCCTGTGACCAAACTGGGGAAGAAAAGTGCATTATTAGACCATACTTTGAAAAAAAAATTCTAAAGCATTTTATTTTAGTTGCTATAGACCCCAGTAATCAAACTGGTGAAGAAAAGTGCATTATTGGACCATATTTGAATTTTTTCCTTATTATTATTATTTTAGTAAAATAAAACTGGCTGAGAAGAGAAAAAGAAAGAAAAAAAGAAAATTTACCTTTTATATTTCTACACAAGCTCATGATAATATATATATATATATATATATATATATATATATATATAGACTAACAATTGTAAAGTTTGAAGACTCGTTGTTTGGAATCAAATTGGATCCCTTCAATTATCACCAGAAGGGGCCCAAAGAAACGTCCCACAAGCTCTGATAGCTACCCACTAAAAATACGATCCATAAATACAATAACATAAAGTCTAGGTTCAATTATTTGATTTATTTTTGTTGGATTATATCATAATGTTTAATGAAAGATCTCCTCACACCCTTGGAGTACTTGGAACCACTACCCTCTTTTCCCATCTTGGATCATGACTAGTAGTCTAGGAAGAGTGCAATCTATCCCATCTATATGCTTGTTATATATATATATATATATGTGTGTGTACTCATGCACGCGTGCCTCCGTTAAAGTTTGAATACTTAACATTTCTTTGCCCGATGACATAGCTCTCAAACTAAGGCTTTTCACATATATAGAAAGCTGTGATATTCACTCGAAGACCAAATCCAATAAGAGAGAATGTGAGCTCCACGATTTCACAATGGTGGAGCCCACAATCCCTCTTTTAAGTTCTTGTGGTCCCGGAGGATCTTGGTAAAGAAGAACCAAGCGTGGAAACAAAATTCGAAAAGACTAAAAAACTTATTGTATAAAGTTTAATGTAACTTCTAGTTCTGGTACAAGTTAAAATTGCAGGCTAGTGCTTATAGACGCACAATTTCACCATTATTTAAAATTAAAATAAGCAAATATATGATAATATAACAAGGAGACCATATGTGATATCAGAATTTTGGAGCTTCAGATTCATTACAAAGGTTCCTGAACTATCCACCTTTTGAACATAACTGAACATTCTTTGGGCCTGTACTCTGGAGCTGTGTGCCCTCCTCCCTGAAACAAAAACCAAAAAGATAAACAAATATATATATATATATATATACATGTTCAGTTATGTTCAAAAGGTGGATAGTTCACACACATATAATTTTCTTGAACCTATTTTGCTAAAGAGGAATAGCAAATTGAAGCAAGAAAATGAATGATTTGTACCTTCACTGTCACAAATGTCATCCCATTGGAGTAAGTCCTTGTATAACTACACATGTGCAATAATCAAATTTCCATTAATATAATTAGCTTTTCTGATATGCTTAATCTCAATCTAATTAAACCTAAAAAGAATTTAGGGCATAATTCAGTAATTTACCCGGCAACTTGGCCTTCGACAATCCAGGAATGCCAGTCATCAACAATGGAGTAATTTAAAGATCTTATCCATGCTTGAGTTGACAAAAATGGCACTATCATGTCATGGTCACCACTGTGCCATCAACACCAAAGGGTCACATTATATGGAATCTTTAGAACCAATGGACATTATTCTAGACGACGTTCGATTCCTGTTAGGGGGCAATACTGTGTGTGTATGTGCGTTTGCTTGAACTTTCCCGAAAAAAAAAGAACTTCAAGCAATAATGTTTCACCTGTATATGAGAGACCGGTAACCTTTAGTGCTGAGGTTTACATGGTAATGGAAACTGTCCTTGATTGTGGGTGTATAAGACAATCCATGGTCGCATCTTATCCAGTTCCCTATACTTCCCTGTGTAAAATTAATAGTTACACTTCCGTTTTTTAGTTTTGTCAGTACCAAACATTTTCTTCCAAACAAAAATATTTTTTTTCCTAGTTTCCAAACAATAATATTGTTATACCTTTCTTATATGAAGTGCTTCTTGGACTCTATCGTCGCTAATCCAGTAATAAGAAAGCAGATATCCATCAATCTGTAGTCACAGAAGATAAGGTGGTTAAACAATCTCAATATTCATGTCAAGTATAAGAAGATTATGTAGGATTTCAAATTATTTTCAATCAAAGACCTTGTTTTTTTTCCTTTTAATTTCGTGATCACTGTTTTTTCAATATTATAATATTAACTTGTTGGATTCATAGCTAATGCTACTGATTCAACATTAGTCTTTTAAGCTCCAAAAAAAAAAAAAAAAAAAATCACAAAATACACAAAACATTTCTCACTGATGAGTTCAAAAATACACTGAAAATTTACTTCCTTAATGATATGCAGAGAGAGGATTTACGCGACAACTAAATGCAGAGAGTGATGATGGTTCAGGAACAGAGAGCTCTCTGGATTTCTCGTTTAGCAATCTTTTGCCAAACAATTCATGTGGTTTTGGAGAGGCGAAACCGCACAACTTTTCTAGAACATGTGCATTCTGAATTCCACTAATACTCTGCAAATGAAAGCAATGACCTTTCATCAAGTACTTGGCATAAAAAAAGTGGCACCAAGAGTTACAAAACAGTATGGTCGCGCCTACCTGATCGAAAGCCTGAAGATCCTTCAAACACAGAGAATTGGTAGGATCTATGTTCGGATATTGATACTCTCCTCTACAACTTCTCTTCAATGACTGTTGCAGACCGGAGTCAGATAATAATTTTAATGGCTAATGATACTATTTTACATTTTTTCGCGGCTAGGGCTAATTAATATTATGATTGACACACGAGACTGAAGAGTATGAAACTACCTCATAGAGTTCATCTGAAATAAGTGCCATCCCATGAGCAAATGGGATTTGGTAATTGCTTTCAGAAGCTGGTAATGTTATCGGATTGCCAAGTAAGTATCCCTGAAAAAACACCATTTTAGAACCAGGAAAAAACCTCCTCAGCAACTCGGTGAAACATTACAGTACCAAAATATTTGCTACGTGTAATTTTCCACATAATCTGGTGCATTGCTCTGGATGTGCCAGACCTAAATTTGAGGCTCTAAACAAACCATTTTTGTAATGCTAATTTAACAGCTATTTTTAATTTCCGGGGGGAAAAAAAAAAAAAAAAAAAAAAAAACAATTTAACAGCTATTCTTGCCCCTTAGCTTAAGAAATCTGTGCAATCGAGAGTAAAAAATTTCAATGTGAGCCTAACTTATGGTCCTGCAGATTTTAAGTTCTGAGGCTCACTTGTGCAGCTTCTATACATTACACAGCTTATTTTAACTGACCAACCATTTAAGAATTTATCTATAAATGGAAAACTAGAAATGTTTGTTCATAATGTACTCATTTGTGTTATGATCAAATTTTGCAACTGAAAGAGAGAACAAGGACTAAAAACCTTGAGATTAATCGATGGTTCAATACCGGCTTCATTTCCTGCATTGCCATAAATTTGAAACCAATTGTTAGCATTCACTGGCTATGGCCATGGAGTTAGAACTTTGTAGGCTGCTCGAAAGACCTCAAAAATCTGTTTTGGCTTTACCATTTGACATCATTTGAACGATAACTGGAACAGTAAGTCCAGAGTATGAGTCTCCACCCACGTAGACTGGGTTCGAGATAAATTCTGGATGATCAATCAGCCACTGCAAAACCAGTTTAAAAAAAAAAAATTCAATCATGAAATCACATACATCACATAGGATCATGACATGCTGAGGGTATACCTTTCTAAGAAACTGGACAGCTTGGTCACATGACTGAATGTCCACTGAATGAGAAGCACGCGAAGTCCTTGCATAGGAGAATCCAGTGCCAACAGGCAAATCCAAGAAGATTATACTGGCTGCCTGAACATTCATGCCCATTCTGTCGGTATCCAAATCAGCATATAGTATGTGCATGTCAGTGTGTGCACACGCACATTAATAGATGTATGCATTTGGACGAACAACAAATTACCTGCTGAGATTATGTACTTCTGATCCCATTACACCCTATGATGGTAGGAATCTCGTGCTCATTAGACTAGCCATGATTTGTGAGTTCAAGTTTTTCTTATCATTTCATTGACAAATTATTCCTAGTCCACTAAACGGCCCATATTCGCTCGCATTTGAATGAATATGGATGAACCAAATTTAAATACGAATTGTATATGAATATTCATATTCAACTCATATTTATAAAGGAGTAAACGGGTTAGATATGAATACCAATATTCAATTCATATTTCACCGATTATATAAGCGATCCATATTCACCTCCCATCTCTCTAAATTCTCTCATATTTCACTCATAATATAAAAAACTCAAATTCACCTCATCGCTCTCTTTAAAATTCTAGGGTTAATTTCACTGACATCCTTTTAGATTTAGCCAAATATTACTCTCAAACATTTTACTCAGATCCCAATTTCTTTTTCCGTTAAAAAAAATGCAAAATGACAATTTTATCCCTATTTTTTAAATCTATTTTAATCCAAAATATCAAATGCCTGAAATAACTAAATTGCTCTCATTTAATTCTCTGTCACCCCCAAAACTATTCATCTCTCTTTTCTCCATAAATATATATTTTTGGTGTACGTGCATAATGAGATATATATATATATATATATATATATATATATAATTTTTCAATGGCCTCATCTTTTATTTAATTTTTTCTTTTATATATCTTGTTCCTATTTTTTTTTAAAACGCTCTTTTAAGATTACCTTCACAAATTTAATTTATTTGATTTTTGTTATTTTTAATAAACTTTTATGGAAATTCAACAGTTTAGAACTTATTAAACAGTTTTGATCAATGGTGACAAAGTTAAAAGTCATTGTACAGTAATCAAATTCAATTTTTATCATTTTTCAAAATAAAAAAATAAAAAAAAAAACTCAATTTTCATTATCAAGTTGAATAGTGTTTGCACAGCTAAATAATTTTTTTTTTCAAAAAATAAAATTTACAATGATTTATTTTTATAACTTGCATCACACCTGTGAGCTAGCTTGAATCGTATGATTTTATGCTTTTTTAGAAATGTTGTTTCATCTTCCAGAGCTCTTACAAAACCATAAATTTTGTTCAAATACACTACTTTTTCTTTGGACCATTTTCCCCTAAAAATACTTGCTTAGAAGTGCCCAAAACTCATTTTCAAATGGGAAACCGATTCTACGCCAAATAATATATATATATAGAAATCCTAACCCTAGCCCATGCAGATCAGGCAACCAAGTGAAACTCTTCATGTTGAACGCAAGGGGAGAGAGGCTCAAAGTCAAAACACTGTTTAAGACATGCATACATGATAAATTCATTAGTCCAGATTAACTTTCTTTAAAAAAAAAAATTTGCCAATTCCAAACAGTGCAAGCAATTGTAGTTGTAAAACAGAGAAAAATAATATAATGATGAAATTATTTCAAAAAAAAAAAAAAAAAAAAAACCAAAAACAGATTGGTGGGTCATGTCGGGTTGACCCAACCCATATTTGCAACGGGTTAAATGCGAATTACAATTCATATTTGACCCACCCATATTGAATCCGAACCAAACTTGATCCAATCCGCCTGTTTACGAGCCCAAGAGTATACGAGATACACACACGCACGCACGCAATCTGATGTATTCACCTTTGTCCACGAGTTGGGATTCAACACTAAAGTGGGCAAGCTCCCATTGTACTGCACGGCTTCGAAGTTTAATGGACCTGCACGATGCATAGTCTAATGGGTTGGTTTCAAGTCCTCACTAATTCAACAATTATGATCAATTGAGCAAAGAATATATATATATATATATATATATATATATATATATATATAGATGTACGTCCATTTCAGTAATTTACCTATTTCATAGATGAGAGCTGTGAAAGAAGTACAACCTGGCCCTCCAGTGAGCCAAAGCACAAGAGGGTCATCTTCGGGATTTGACTCCGACTTAACAAAGTAGTAAAAGAGTTGCACATCCTCTGATTCGTCCACTCCAACGTACCTGATCATATTATAATATGATAACACACAAGCATTTCATTATATATATATATATATATATATATATATATATATATAGTAACACTCAAACATACATGCATGGAGGGGAAACATGAACTAGTTCTACACACACTCACCCTGTTTCAAGGTGAAAGGGAAGGGGTCCCTCAAATCCTGGAAGAAACTTAACCATGGAAGAGTAAGAGAGTGCAATTTGTGAACCAAAATGTAAAAGAAGAAGAAAATACAGCTTGGTTATTGAATTTGATATGGCCATTTTCTGGTTGTTCAGGTGATTTTTGTTGTTCTGATGAAGAGAAGTACTAGGCATGATTTATGATATACAAGTGTAGAATGATATGGAATATGTGGAACAAGAGAAGGAAGAGACTTATCCTAAAAGAATAAAAGAATGAAAGAGAATGGGTGGTCAATACTCATTTAATGTTGTTCTTATTCTTGGAACTATGTTCTTTATTTCAATCGAAACCAAACTTTTGGACAAACCACACACAATGCCTGCATGACTCTCTCACCAAAATAAGGTTGACTCATGCTGCATCAATCATTCACCAAGGACAAGATATTCTCCTTCTCCATTTAACAGTATTATATTATTATAAAAAAAGAGGCGATATTTGCACTCGATTTTTTTTTTTTTTATATTTGTACTATAACCTTAAATAAAATGACGATTGTAATCTAAATTTTACAAGTAAATGAGTATTATTTTTAAAATAGCACAATTGACCTAGTAAATTATTTTTAATGCCATAACTATACAGTAAAAGGAGTAAAGAATCTGAGAAAAAGTTAAAAGTTATATAAATGATACTTATTACATTATAAAATAGGAGATGATACGTTAATAAATTGAAGGATTTCAATTCTTGTCATGTTCTTTAAAAGAAAAAAAGTAAGTGTAGTGCAATTAGAGAAAAGTGGAGTGTGCCTCCCTAAAAGAATATAGAGAATGACGTGCATATTTAATATTTCATTAATGGTATCTTGTAAAAATATTTTATTTATAATGAATCATATCACTAGGTATGAGTATCCATCACTAATATAACCAACACAATTAAGTTTTTCTCAATAATATGATATATATATATATATTGCACAGTATCTTGTTGTAGAAGACTGAGAGCTAACACCATTCGTTAAAGTGACTGTGCCCTCTACAATCGCTCATCTAAATAGTTAAAATCACACCAATCATAACTAAGTATGTTTTTCTTTTTTCAAGAAACATTAAAAATATTAATTTTAAAGACAAATTGCCCTTTATTTCATTGAACTTTTTCCCCCTTCCACGCTATGTATGCGTGTGAAGAGCTAACCTTCTCTCAATAAAGGGCAGTACGTTTTATCCTAAAATTATATATTTTTAATATTCCACCAAAAATGGAAAATATATTAATTATAATGAGTGTGATTCAACCGATCAGATAAGCCAGAGTGGAGGGGGATGTGTAAGCAAGTGTGGAGGGATAGAGCGGTTGTCCCTAACACTCCTCTCGTTATAAATGTGTTTCTTAATTTTTTTTTTTAAATTATTGCATTTTGTGATGTAGCTATGTCCTAGAAGGTACTGGGGTTTATTAAGGAAATTTTTGCATGAGTGAAGAAGGATGGAAAATAATTGAGAAATAGAGATAGAGGTGGAGATGGTGACTAATGGAAAAAGGAATGCCATTTATCATACATGAGATATTAGAGAGTACAAAGAAAACGTTTGTCAAGTACAGCTAATTAAACCGATGAAATAATGCTAAGGATAAGTTGATATCAAGTGAATGAATGGATTGGTGACTTTGTTAAAAAAAAAAAAAAAAAAACCCCTTTTTGAAAGGTTAAGTTTATATATAATTAAAAAAGAAGCTTTACAGAAGTGGAAGGACCAATAGCATGATTACAGAAACCAAAACAAAACAGGTAGGCCCGAGTCCTAAGTTCCTAACCCAAACATGACTGAAAGAAGAAGTGTACATCAGATAGAGCAACACTTTCTCTCACTAATTAAGACGTTTCAGTACAAGGAGCAGAGTTACATTAACCAGGCTAATCCGGTGGCATTGGCGGAGGGCGTAAAACCCTGGATGGAAGATCCCATTCATGAATGATGCGCATGAGATCAACTCCTCAAGAGTACGATTAAGGACTGAATTTGCTGAAAGCCTTTTCTTCTTAAAGATTCTGTGGTTTCTTTCTTTCGATCCAAACATTGTAGACAAGTGAGGTAAGGGCCATTCTTGAGACAGTCTCACGGTTAATTGATCTTCCTCTCCAGTGACCAGCACACCAAGATATCAAATGTGACCCAAAGAGTGAATGAGTGTTTAGGAATAGATGGGAATGGAGACAAAGATGAATATTTGTGAGTATAGAAAACAGAATTCCATTTATCATACAGGATTAATTACAAACTAAATTAAGCAATAAGGCTAAGAAGAAAATGTTTGTCAAAGTGACATAAATTACATCAAGAGAATTTCAATAAAATGAAATAAATTTATAATGTGGAACATATATCAACAGAAAAATAGAGTAGAGCATTGAACTCTTGTGTGTTAATAGGAATTAATGGTAACACATGGTCCTAATGCTTAAAGCAATAAAATAACTTCATTTGTTACTGAAAATTTGATATTTCCTCATTTTCTTTCTTCTTCTTTCACGTGGAGTTGAACATATTCCTAATAATAAAATTTTGTTATAGGTAACTTTTGTAATGTGAGTGGATAATAGTAAATGAGTTTCAAGTATTGCCAATTTTATTGAAGTTTGGATAATTTGCTTGATAGATTACTATTAGGATTATTATCAAAGTTTTTATTTGTCATGAAAGTCTGGTGAATGGAGCATATGGTTTAAGAAAAATTTGATAACCCCTAACTACTACTATAAATGGTGCAAAAATAATTGTGTAAAAAAACCAAAAAATAAAAATAAAAATAATAAAACATAATATATGTCTTATCAACCATTTTTTCATTTTTAGATGACATGACACATTATATGCCTGGCATCAAACATCATGTACCTAACACCACAATCAATTATATAAAGGAGCATTTTGTTTTAAATAACATATTGTTTCATCCTGCAAATGGGATATCATATATTTTAAAAAAAAAAAAATACTAAACAATCTTGCCATTTACTTGAGATATTAAAGGAAATTAAAAACTTTTAGTTAAAATAATTTTAGTAGAGGCAATGGAATGAGTGCTCACCTAATGTAAAGTTTAAAAAGTCATGAATTCTTTTGTATTTGCCGAGAAATCAAACTGTACAACCAGTTGTAAGAATTAATAGTTTTCAAATTATTCATTTGAAAAAATATAAACCCTTCTTATTAGATTATCGTGATACTTCTAAAAAATCGAAATTCTTTGATGAAAGAATATCACATTTTTGTGCAATAAATACCACAGTGCTATAAACGATTTTTTTTTTTTAATGTTTCTATTTTGAATTGTAAAACAAACACTCAGATATATATATCCCACACGCCAAAAAAACACAACTCACATTTGTGTTTTTTGGTAAATTAACTCAACTCACATTTGTTCCAAAGGATATAATTGGAAAGAACTTATAATGGTTTCCATGTGCTTATTTGATCTCTACATGAGTATTGACGAAATGAGTTGGTTAAAGTTTGATGAAATGCCTTGGTTAAAATTTGGAGATGTTTTTTTCAATATACTGATGAAATTTTTTTTTTCAGGGCAGAGATTATAAAGTAGGAGGGCTAAAAATAATTAAATTCATAATTGCTTAGTGTGTCATCCATGTTCTAAATAGAGAATTCTCATGCATAGTCATTTAATTAAACCCAATAATTTACAACCTTCTAACACATGTACACTTCCAGACTCTAGCGTGTTTTCACAGTCAAAAATTCACTAAAGCATGTTTCATACAAACACTTGTAAAAATGTAAGATATATATGTTCTTTATCAATAAATTCACATTAGAAAGTAAGATACATGTACTCTACCCATGACTAGTTATTAATCCATTATATAGTAAATTATCCAATTTAACTAGAAACCATAAGTCATCAACAATATATTTTTTTTTTTTAATACAAAAATAAAAATCAATATTTCACTAAATTAACAATAATAATCTATGATATCCATTCCTTTTATTTATATAAATTCTAGGATAAAGTGCCCTAAACCCCTGACGTATGACCGATTGCATTAAACCCACATGGAGTAAGCATAACCCCTTAATTATGATTTTTTTGGCAAGAAGTGAAGATCCATCAGAAGCCGTTAACAAAAAAAAAGCAAACTACCATTTGGCCCTTACTTGAATGACGTCGTTTAGGTTGTTCTATGTTGTTGAGCTCCTGATGTGGCAATAAAATCTCCACAACCAACTGAAAAGGCACACCTATCCCAAAAAGAGAAAGATTTATAGTATATATTTATCCGGATATACGCATATACCTATAATCCTACGCCCCCCTCCCTGCTTATCATGCGCACCCACCATTGTTTCTCTCCCTATCTCCCTCTCTCTTTATCTCCTTCGCCAGTTCTCACACCATGGGTAAAGGGTACTCATAATCCTACATCTACGTGGCCATCAGGATCTTCCTCAGCTTCACCGGCATCGTCTACAACAAGTACATCCTCGATCGCAAGCTCTACAGCTAACCATACCCGATCTCTCTCACCATGATCCACATTGGTTTTTGCTCCACCGTTACTCTCCTCTGCGTTCGCGTCTTCTCTCTCGTCGAATCCATGTCATGTGACCTCTACCTCTCCACGGTTGTCCCCTTCCCCTTTCACAAAGGCAGCCGCTGCAACTCTCAGGCGACCGCAAAACACAAAGTGAAGACTACACATCGCATCACAACAAACTGTGTTTGGATAGTGCTCGCCGATGCTTGACCTCACAAGAGACAAACTCCGATGACGACAAGCGTTCACGGAAAGTAGAGATCAATTAAATTTTAAACTGAGAGGACCTTGATGCTCGTTGAAATGACATGCGTTCACGGAAATAGAAGTTTGAATTTGTTCATACGTCTATATTTAGACTATGGTTAATACTGTGTAAATATTAGTGAAATGCTAATATCAGCTCTCTTTATTTATTATATTTATTGTTACCACAAAGCTTTTTCAAAACCAATTGGACAGAAGAATACAAAATGACACAAAAGAGAACAATCACATGTGAAAACATTACACTATAACATTGTAATAATAACAATAATAACAATCGATGGTTAAGATGCTAACCTCTCATCTATAAATTACAATAGCAATAATGGAAACATACAGTGCAGACAATTGATGGTTAAGACGCTAACCTCTAACCTATAAATTAGCTAATTCTTTTAGTTCCCACCAAATGCAATGATTTTAGTTCCTCCAATACACTATAAGCAAAAATAAATAAATAAATAAAAATTTCGTTCAGTCCCTCCAATTGGAAAACTAAAACAAGAGTGTTCTATAATAATTTATATAACATCGGGTAAATTAGTTGTTAGCCCATCTAATTTATTTCTAATATTCATTCAAATAAAATGCGAAATGTATATGCAAAGAAGTTGTGACCACTGGTATCATTTATTTATTTATTTTAATTTTAACCAGGTGATAATATAATTCAATTCTGTTGACAATTTTAACACCGTTGATAATTGTCAATATAGGGCAAACTATGTTTTGAGAATAAAACAACAAAAGCTGCAAATAAATTACTTCCAGAATTGTTTTGCAAACAAATTAGCATTATCATTTCTGATTTATTATTATTTTTTTGTTTGGACGGCATTTGAATATTTCAAAGGAATTTCTCATAAGCTAATATGACAATGACTTGTAGCTTCGCTCCGTGAGAGTTTGGTGGCCTTCAGAAGCCTCCATCAGCAATATATAATTGCTAATGAGCTACATCATCCTATCCAATATGGAATATTAGTAAGAGGCTTTTTGATTAAGCACTGACAAACACTCCACAATTATGCAACTACTAAGTCGAAATCATAAGAAATTCCATCACATCAACATAACAAAAACGGATGTTAGATTACCGGAAAAACAACAAAAACAAAAATAAAAACAAACACAAACACTCTTAATTTCATAAATATTACAAATCAGGACCATGACTTAATTAATATGAGACATTAAACCAGTACCACCAAACTTGTCCTCTGAGATCTGATTCAGACGAGCCGCCATCTCATCTGTGAGATGGTTCCGCCAGTCTCCAACCTCACCCTTTCTGAAGAAGACATTGTTTTGAATAGCAGAATTGGCGGTAAACTGTAGCATCCCAGTCTTGTTCACCTCCAAATTGCTCAAATGCTCAAAACTGCATAACTTCACTATTTCTTCAACAACACCATCTCTCTCTTCCTCTGAAGAAAATGGTTGACCCAAGAACTCAGCCAATCTTTTAACGCAACTGAAGGTGTCCTTCTTCATATCCTCGTATGTCAGGATCAAAACCTTCCCAGGAAATTCCGAGTTTGCATTCCAATACCCTAACACATGATCCCAATAGGATCCAAAGTGATTGACCCGTTTACAGAAAATGTCCACTCCTAGTGAAAGAGGTGGTAGTTCTTCTTCCTTCACCGTCATCAACTTTTTCATATGGAACCAAGACACGAAGACATCTTTTGGGTTGCGGAAAATGTAAACAATCCGGCACCCAGAAGAGGCTACGGACGCAGGTAATAAATGGCAAGGGATGTGGGTGGCGAGGAGGCGAGCCGAAGAAAGGCTGAGGGTTGTTGAAGCATTGTTGTTTTGAACCAGACCTTCTAAGGTGGGGATGCAACCATGGGGATTATTGGTGAGCAAAGGGTGTGAGGCAAAATCGAAAAAGCTTCGGTTTGTGATTGCGAAAATGAGGGCCTTGAGCCATGTGGTGCCACATTTAGGGTAAGTGGCTAAGAGAATATCAGTGGGAAGGGCAATGAAGTTTTGTTGAACCAGCATGACTCCTTTGAGAGAGGATGAGGTCAACAAAGTATTCTGGTCGTTGATGACCTCCTTATTAGTTACCCCACCATTCTCTCTGCTGGGAAGAGTTGGGACCAAATCTGTGTGTCTTCGAAGTGTTTCGTCCTTCTTGTTGGTGTCTGCCATGGAAATTTGCTGACAAGTGAGAGAGGATGCCATGGAGAGAAGGGTCTAAGATTTGAAAAACTTTGAGAATTAATGGCTATGTTTGTTGGTGGAATAGAGCTGCTCTTATAATACTACTTGTGTCTGGTTCATTGACTTGATCATCTCCCTTTCTTTATATATACTCCCACCGATTCAATACTAGTTCTGCCTGGTTCATTGACTTGATAATCTCCCTTTCTTTATATATACTCCCACCGTCCCAAAAACGGAGGGAGTATATATTATTAGAATTTAGTATATATCAAAAGGGTTGTCTGGGTCAAATGAAAAACTAATGAGTAATGCTAAACATAACGTGCAAACCTTGGAAAGCCTCAAGCAAGGAACACACCACAAAAAACAAATACAATAATGTGGGAACCTTGCACCAAATTTGTGTTTTTTTGAAGTGTATCGTCCTTCTTGTTGGTGTCTTCGATGGAAATTTGCCGAGAAGTGAGAGAGGATACCATGTGGAGATGGGTCTAGGATTTGGAAAACTTTTATATTATATCAAAAGGGTTGGCTGGGTCAAATTTAAAATTAACGGGTAGTGCTAAACATGAATGGTCTTTTATGTGATGGAGGCTGACCCCTGGCACTCATTGCTTCACAAAAATTCAAAGTAATTTTCCCAAAAAAAAAAAAAAAAAGGGTTTGAAAGATTTTGGAAAGTAGGACCCTTCACTACAGGGCTCCAAGTATAACAGGTGAAAAGTTGGGTTGGGGGAATAAGCAAGGCGGCAACACGCCACAAATACAATAATGGGCAAACCTTAGGGCATTTCTAATATTAAAAGCTATTTTTGCATGTCAAATCTATATTTTGACAGGTGTTATACTGTCAAAATATTACATTTTAGCAATTCTGCTCTAATGGTACATTTCATGCAAAATGCTATTTTTTGACACGACCATCATTCTTTTTCAACTACCATTCCCACCATTCATATTTGCATCAGTAATAGTAATATTAGTTACATTCCAAGCCAAGTTGTAGACATTAGAAGAAAAGTAATATTAGTTATATCCGGTCAAAAACAGAAACAAAAAAAAAACCAAAAAAAAAAAAAAAAAAAAGATAAAACAAAATGATATAAAAGAAAATCAAAAAATCAAAACCCATATCTTTTTATATATATTATATATTATATATTAAATATATATATATATATATTTAGGACAAATCATTTCAGCCTCCCCAATCACCTCCATCTCTATTCTCATTCTCAACTCTGAAATTGCCGCCCCCTCTCTCTGTTCAACTGCAAACTACAAAATCAATAAGAATCAGAAGTTCAACTCTCAAGCTTGCCCCTCTCTCTCTCTCTCTCTCTCTCTCTCTCTGCAACTGCTAACTTGTATGTATGGGTTTTGATTTAATTTTTTTTCTAAATCAACTAATCAAGCTCTGTAATTCTCTGTAATTTTTTTCTAAATTAATCAACTAATCCATGGCAGGGGCAGCCTCTGCTCTCTTCCTTCTTGACGTCAAAGGCCATGTTCGCCAATGACACCACCGCTAGGTCTCTCCGCGGCCCCAAGGCCAAATCGTTGAATCTGTCGTCGAAGTTCAAAAATAGCTTAAACTTGTGGTTGACAGCAGATATCGCATAGGCAGATCGTGGGTTGTCCTCTTGTCTCTCTCTGTGTAAATTGGATGCTTAAACTCTCTCTCTCTATCTATTTCTCTCTATATGTATATATTTGTTATGTGAATACTGAATATTGGTTGCAGACAATAGATATTGTTGCAGATGAGGGGGAGAGAGAGACGAAAATTGCAGATGAGAGGGAGAGAGAGACGACAGAGATCGCAATATTGAGGGGCAGAAAAAGCAACAGGGGATTGAGGGCGATAGGAAGAAACGGCGTCGTAGGACATTAAAAGAGACTTACCAAAAAAATTGACAGCTCTTACATTTGAGAGAAAATTTGAGATTTTCAAATATTGAGAGGCCAAATGAAAGGCCATTAGAGAGCCCCTTTTTGACCCATCTCTCAAATTATGAGTTTGAGAGCCCAAAATGAAAGAGCATTGGAGTAGCTCTAATGGGTTACAAGATATGTTCTCAACATCAAACTAGAGGCTTACGAATCACAAATTCTTTAAGGAAAATTAAAACTCCCCGATAACAGCAACACTAATAGAATGAAACGTCACTCAAAAAGGGGATGGATATCAACGACACAAATATATAATCTCATTGGTGTAGAGTAGAAGGTAAAACAGAAATGAACGAAGAATTTAACCGAAGAGGAAGAACGACTCAACACCAGCAACCTCCCTCTGAAACTACACTTTGGTCGAAGTTTAATGGCCAACTGATTTGCAGAAAGTTGTGGGCTATTTGTCTTTTACGATCTTTCGCTCCTCTAGCTCTTCTCACGAAGGCGTTGCATGTTCGGACGCCCGGGGGGGGGGGGGGGGGGGGGGGAGAATTTTACAAGGGGGGGCCATATCGAATCCGAATGGGAAGTGAAATAGGTATATGTAGGCTGAGTGTTAGCTTCACTTAATAGCTAAAACTTTTGGGTCGGGTTATGAGACACCCAAGGAGGCCTTGTCCCACATTGGATTCGGATGGGAAGTGTCCCACATCGGATCCGAATGGGAAGTGAAATTGGTATATATGGTATTATATGTTAGTCCCACCTAATAGCTTAAACTTTTGGATCGAAACACCCGACCCTAGTTACACTAGGCCATTGGATAAAACTCAAACCCTTACGAAGCGGTAGAAGTTCTAATAAATTAGAATATTATAAATATTATTAGATATAATAGTAAAAACAATTCAAACTTTCTTTTTCTTCTCTCTTAACAAATATAGTAAATTATGAGTTTATTCTCTTCTCTTCTATCCATCTAATTTTTGAGCATTAGTGAAAGCAGGAATGACAGAAGACCAAAGACGGTTTGGGTAAACAAATAAGTACTTAAACAGACAATAGAAGAAATTTTTTTCTCTATTTACCCTTCTTTCCTTCACTGCATATCTATGCCATGTACATTGATATTCCCTAACAGGGTGTTTACACCATGAGAATGTTGACTATATATGAACAAAGGCGAAGATTAGGATTTCCGGTCTTTTGTCAACTTTCAGACCTCACTGCAACTTCTTGTGTGTGTGCTTGGATTATACAATTCTCCAGGTTTTAGAGAAACAAGCTGTACAAACATTTAGATCAAGAAAGTACCCACGACGATTCCATTGTCAAGGAGAGCTGAACTCACAGCAACCTTTTTTCCGTTTCCATTGCCATGACGTCTTCGTCTCTTTTATTATCCTCCACTTTCTCAACCTTCTGTCTCTGCCAGAGTAATAGAGATATTTGGTTAAATAATAAATAATATGAGATGGTGGTGTATAGCGAGCACAGTTTTTAAAATATGCAAACAATAAACGAAGAATGCGATGTCCCTTCAAATGACAACTAGAGTTTCTAGGAATTATATCTGGATTTTCAATTTCCTAGTGCTGAAGACAGCATAACTCTGGATATGAAATCAATTGACCATGATCAACTTCAACAAAGTATTCAAGACACGCATAGTTGTACCTTATCACAGCATCAGAGTTCAATTTCTCGAAGGCATGTAAACAGTAAACAGTAAACATATTTGGGATGATTACTTCTGTAGTTAATCAAATGACTTTCTTTCAGTTTATCCCACCATTGTAGGAATGGTTTCCAGTTTTTGTGAGTATTACATTCCGGAGGATAGATTGGTGCCCCAAATAATACAGAGACACATCAGATCATGTCCACTAACTCTCATGACATTCCAGAAAGAATTTCTTAGTCATGCTCATCTGATAATATTATACGAGAAATCTTACAAATATGGAAGTTCATGCAACATGAAGAAGAATTTCTTAATCATGCTCATCTAATAATATCATACGAGAAATCTTACAAATATGGAAAGTTCATGCAACATGAAGAAATTCTCTATGTGCCGTTGGCAATAAGGGAATAGAACATTATGAGATTTATGGCTTTAGTATTGCCAATTATGTGGTGGTTCCCTTGGTGCCATCAGCAATGCCACTATAGAGGTGACGGAAGTAATTGCCGGAAATGGTAGTGGTTGTGGTGGTGATGGTGCCATGATTGTGTGTTGGCATTGGTGGTAGCAGAAAAAAGAATGGCTATCAAAAGCAACAATTTTAAGAAATTATTTTCAAGGTGCAATACCTTTTTAAGAAATAAATAAATAAACTTTTCGTCTTGAAGCAGCAATATGAAATCCGTTTTTTTCCCATTTCAAAAGCAAGGCGAAGACATGCCAGCCAGTGCCTTAATTCTTCCAAAACTTGAAGTCATTAATATTAGAAAGGCTAAAGACTAATTAACCTTTGTCGCCACAGAAGAGTCCTTTGTCATATGTGCAAACATGTTTGCATAAAGCTTTGCATCTCTCTTATCGCTCTCAACTTGAAGTAGTTTCAGTTTCTTCTGAATTAACTTCACCTCCCTGAAAAACAAGCACTTAAAGCTCATTGTTTCCTATAAGGTACATAAAAGTATATACTAATCTGGTAATTTGAGACTGAACAAATGACTTACACGTACCTATTATGAGGATCAGCCTCTAGGGCCTTTGTGATGTCCAGTTCAGCCAAATGCAAATCTGCAGTTTCCATATAAGCTTGTGCCCGCCTGTACAAAGCTTTCGCATTGTACAACTCAATATCAAGGACCTAATGGATATCAAAACTAACAATATAAGATGATTCTTGCATTTTCTTTCTCCATGCTACAAGATAAGCATTAGCTGATCGGCTGAAAAAAGCCAAGGCAATTAAAAAACATGGGGCATCTTCATTCCAATGTAACACTAGATTTACAAGGACTGAAGAATTGCTCAGGAATCATGATATGACATGAGAAGTCGAGGATTTAACATCACCAAAATCATTATTTGAAAACAAATCCAACTGTCAACCTGTCTACAGCCAATATGCCATGACATTACAGCACAGAGGGATACTGCCATCATTTACTAAATGTAAGGGCATATTAGTTCTATCTAGCTTCTCTTTTCATTAGGATTACAAAAGTGCCTTTGTACATTATGCAGCATGCTCTTATTAACTAGAAATTGCTATAGTAGCAAAAGGAACAATGATAGAGAATGAAAAAAAGTTATCACCACGTGCTCTCACGTGAGCTCATGCCTTTAGTAGCAAAAAGAATGACTGAGCATGCAACTAATAGTGAGAACACCCTCGTGATAGTCTTACTCTATAGAGAATTATGTCCTACAAGAGTAAGGAAAAACTGATCAGGTTAGTATAATTCTAACCACTAATTTACCACAAGGCTTCAGATGGTGATCCTAAAACTAAATTGCTCAAAATCTAATATCTTATCCCTTGGACGTAATTAAAAAACATGTCTTTTGTTTATAAATCTTCAAAATGCATCAGTTGTTTTTTCCTTTTATAGTCCATGACTTTACCTTTGAACATAGCTTGATTACTCCCTGGAAATCATTTACTTTTAGGCCACAGGCTGCACCATTTAACCAGCATGAAACTCTTAATGCTTTGACTAGCTTTTGATCAGCATCTCCAAAGGATCCATCATCATCAACATAGTCCGCAGCCTGAGACATTAGGGGACCAAAGAAACCCACAAATTGGAAGTTGATTAGCATGGAGTCTCCAGAAGTTCACTGTCAGAGAAACCCTCATTGTATTACCTTGTCATATTTTTTCCCAGCTCTTTGATACTTTCCATTTTTGAATAGTATATTGCCGCCTTCTTTCATCCTCTGAGCTGCCTCAATTCTCTCTTGATGACTCATCTCCCATGGTGCTTTCTCCTATTTTATTACAGATAATATGGAATTAGTAAGAACACAACTACATAAGCACTATCTCTTTTTTAAGAATCTAATGGTAAGAGCAATGTGTTTCCTAGGCAAGTAGACTAAGTAAATGCCATTTGTAGCAAAGCTGCATTGTAAATTTTTTGGCCCCAAAAAATTTTTGATATAAAATCTGAGGATTCATTTTTACCCTTCTTCCCAAATTCCCCAATAATGCCCCCCACCTCCTTCATTTTCATCCATGTTGAAACATGCACTATATTAGGGGTTGTTTGGATGGCCCTCGAGAATATTTAATACTTTACAAGTTATTTGAGAGAGTTTTATACAAAGATTTACAAAAAATTAATCATTGCTTTATCATGTGTTTAACATGAAGAAATGAAAAATCACAATGGATATTTGAATTTTGAGCAGAGGTGGAGGAAGTGGACTACATCATGCGCTTCGACAGTTAGTTCTCTGTCTAAGCGAGAGGGTCCTCCACAGGTTTCTTTGCTTCTTCGAGAGAGTTGAGACATGATCACTCCCTTCTCCTTTTCTCTTTATTTTGATTATGGATGCTCTCAGAAGGATCCTGGACTATGGAGGCTGGCACGATGGAGGAATTTTGGGTGGGTAGGCAGGGCGCAGCCATTTAGTTTTTCCAACTTTTGTATGCCAATTACAGTATCACATTTTGCGGCCAAGATCGAGCAGTTCAGATATATGAGATGTGTGTAGTATGTTTCAATGCAGTGTCACGGCCTAAGATGAATACAGGAAAGTCAAAACATATTCTGGTTAGCAGAGTGGAGGAGATTGTGAATAGGTAGCAAGGAGGTGGGGGTGTAGAAGAGTATTAAAAGGGTCGGGAGAAGTTCGCTCAAAACATTGACAATTAGTAGGCATTAGGGGGAGGATTAGGAAACATTAGGAAGCATCTATCCTCAGTTTTTCACCTTGTTAAAGGTAAGGAAACACTAGTAGCATATGTTCAGAGCATCGATGCTGATAAAATGCTCTTGAATTCCTGATTTTGAAAGAGTTATAAATGATTAGGAGGTTGAGGAATTAGTGAATTGCTTGGAGCATTTGTCTGAATTGGAGACTAGGAGGGGTGAGGGAATGAGATCTGGAGGAAGACCTAAGACTTCAGAGTGTGACAAATTCAAGGTGAACTTGTTTTATGACCAGTTAGTGGAGTCCTCAAAAAAGATATTTACTTGGAGGATTATTTGGAAGGCCAAGGCTCCTTCCTAAGTGGTTTTTTTTTTGCATTGATGGCAGCTCAATGGAAAACTCCGATCGTTGACAATTTAGCTGAAGGGTTAATTTATCCCCAATTGGTGTTGCACGTGTAATATGGAGAATTCAGTGGATAATCTCCTAATTCATTGCAGGAAGGACACGGGTTTGGTCCTGCATTTGGTGTTGTACAATGTCTTTTGGGTGTTTCCCAATACAGTGTCAGATTTGTTTCATAGTTGAAGATGGTGTGTTCAGAGTAGGAGACAGATGAAAGACTTGGAGGGCAATTTCTCTTTAGCTTATGTAGTGTATTTGGGGGGTGAAATGAACATTATGATGGGGTGGAAGAGCCGATCCATAAAACTGAACTTAGATTTTTGGCTGTTTTGCATGTCTGGGTAACATAGAAGGAAAATAGAACAATATTACGCTCTTATAGAAAATATGGATTCTTTGCAGGTTAGTAGATCATTGTATACATTCCGTGTACATGGCTTGTGCCCAGTTTGACAAACAACTGTGGATACTATACTTGTCAGGAAAAAAAAAAAAAACATACTAGGTTTGTCAAACTAGCTCCTATATCACCATAGATTTTTTCAGAAACAATTCATTTAATTTAAATCAATTATGGAAGAAGAAGAAACCAATTACCGTCTAATGTAATGTGAAATGTTTATGTTGCCCAGAATGTTCAAGATGGACAGTGCAGACATTATATAATTCTTGATTATTGGGATATAATATTAGGTGCATGCCCAACCAGACATGTCAGAACATATATCTCACACCCAGTTGTGATATGTTTACACCGGTAGTTCGTGCATCCAGAAGAGTCCAACATAGACAAAGAACCCAACATGGTCCAAGTTCATGTAAAAATTCTATTTTTTCATTACCACAGAAATTACCTTCATAAAATCCAACATTTCAACTTCATAAACTATAGTTGAACATGGTGGAACTAGAGCAAGATCACACTTTGCTTCAATGCTTCCAAATCCATATTCAGGATCTATTGTCAATATTGCCCGCTCCCCCTTCTTCATTGTTGCTACTGCCTGATCTAACCCAGCAATCACTTGTTCTATGAACACAAAGATGCAAGCACTTGTCATGGATGATTTCAAGATGTCCTACATGACCATGATATGTAGGACGCCTTCCCCAATAACAATAGGAAAACAGGAAATTTGCCGGCAATTCCATGAAACAAACCTGTTTGGATGCTAATGAAAGTGACCTCATTATTTCAATTAAGATATGCACAACAATACAAGGTGTTTATACCTTTTGTAGGGAAAATTATTCTTTAGTTATAAATAGAAATGTACGCAATGCTGCAAGTAAATTTACATGCACAAACATCTGTAAGACTGTAACATATCCCTATATCTAGATCTAGAGATTTTCCATGTCGAACAAGATTCATATTCATATCCACAAATCATAGCTTCATGATCGTCTGAGGGATTATTTTAAGCAAGTCATGGAAGAGACCCAAAAAGAAAATTCAGATGGACTGACCTTCATCTGTAATAAACTCCAGTGGCCCCTTTCCGTTAAAGCCTTCCCTCTCAAACACAGTGCCATCTTCAAGCATCGCTGTAAACTTAACTGCAGAAGTCCGTCAACAACATAGAGAAATTAGAAAACAAGTAACAGGAGATACTGAGTGATGCTGTTGGCCCCATAATGCATTTCAAACAAAAGCTAACTCACTTAAGCTGGCGTTTACATTATACAGTATATTTGTTTAAGAAATAGACAGTTCCTTCATATTCTAAACTGATTTTTGTGTTCTACATTCAAGTAGAATCAGCTGTTCCTTTCCGGTGGTTGTTCCTTCGGGAACTGAAGGGCATTAATTATCCCTGTTACGTTCTTAAAACCAAAAAAGCAATGTTATCAGGAGACTGGAAGATTAATCTTAATTGCAATAAGGTAAGGACAGAATTTGTTAAGGGAAAAAGAATTGTGCAATGAAGTAATGATGGGTGATGGAAGAATGAATGGACTCTCTCTCTCTCTCTCTCTCTCTCTCTCTCATCTGTTGGTTTGAAGTTCTTTGCATACGGGATATGAATTGCCATCTTGTAGCAAGACAAGAACATCTTGATGCAAACAGCCATCTCTGAAGTTTGAAAGAAGAAAATGAAGACGTCTGGACAGCTAATGGATTCAAAACATGTTTCTGTAGAAAATGGATAGCCCATAGTTCACAATGCGACGTTTTATTGGGCTCACAACATGCTGATCCTTTAGCTATTTTATCCCAAATTATAGAAGCTACTTGTAAATATTTGTAGTGTTAATATATATCTACAGGAAAAAAAAAAGAAAAAAGAAAGGTCTCAATGATGGACTGAGTCATTCAAGCATTTCTTTACAGAAACAATTTCATATTTATTAAATCCCACATAATACAAATTCCAATCCAGATTGATTTTGAAATTCCTCAAACATGTGATGTCCATATCAATATACTTACTAGTAACAGTGGCACCTTCATTTGCAGTGAGAGCACCTTCCCCTTCTTTCAGAATCTTCTTGAATACCTTTGAATCACCGGTGATGTCAGTGACAGGGTTGAATGACACCAGCTCCAGGTCAATGCTTAGCACAGAACTTGGCGGGACTGAAGGGAACTCATTATTAAAGTCCCTACCCCATTCTCCAAAGGCATCTGCAACAATTTTTCAGGTAAAGAAAATATTTGTACCCTGAGGGGCATTTTGGGTGAACTATATAGGTAACAGAAAACATGAAAGTTCAGTTCTTCCATTAAATCTTCTTGCTATTATGGAAAGCCAAACTTACAAAACAATAACAGTGCTAGCACGATAAAATAAATAAATAAAGAGCATGTGATCTGGGGAACTATTGCAATGAACCGTGCAAGAATATTTTATATATTTAAAGCAAATGATCGATTTTCTTTCCACTCTCCCATATTAGAAGATTTCTTTTGTTCTTCACAGCAACACCAATGCATAGTTATTCAGCAAAATAGTACAAGGAAACTGTAACCATAAATTTTGATTAATTATTTAAGTTCGAGATTTCTGCTCCATTACATTATTACTAATCCACTCTAGTTGTTTCTATTGCAGAGTTAGATGTTTCATGAAGAGTGTTACTCCATCACATACTTCAAGGCTGTCATTGTGATAACAAGAATGCCATTCAGATTGCACACAACTCCATCTTTCATGAGCGTAGAAAGCATATCACGAGTGATTGTCATTTCGTGGCATCACCTTTAGCCTTGCACTCTCTCTCAACCGTTTGTTTCTTCTACTATGCAAGGCTGACTTCTTCACAAAGTCTCATGCTATTATGCATTTTCGTTTTCTTCTAGGCAAACTCTAGAAGCTTCTTACCATCACATCATGAGTTTGAGAAGGGGGGTTAAAGGATTTATTTTATTTTTTATGGTAGTATTGCTTTTTTCTCTTGGTTTATTAGTCATCCCTCTTTAAGGCATATTATATTCTTGGTATATTGTATCATTGTTGTATAATTAAATAAGACACACAACTAGTTTCTTCTTTGTGCAAAATTCACAAAATCAAACCAAATTCAGCAGCACATTTAACAAATAAAAAATTCTATTTTTGAAACAACTATTGCTAATTTTATAGAAGTCCCTATATAAATATTTCAATAGATAAAGAATCTAAAAATGCAGGGGATCATTTCACCTGAATTGTGACTATTCACCTCTGAGTTTCAAAAGAGGGAAAAATAGAGTAGATATTTTATTTAAGCAATTACAAAATCTCAAACCAATATAAATAATGCATAACTCTAAAAATTGTAGCATTGCAAATGAGAAACAATGATGGGAGGGCATACATTGAGGTTGAACTGTTAGATTGACCTTCTCTCCCCTTCTCATGGTCTTTATTGCTTTTGGCAATGCTGGACAAAAATGACCTACAAGAAAAGAAACTATCAAGTCAAAAACTGGTCCGGTCAATGGAACTATATTCATATTAATGCTTAACCTAAAAATTCACTATGTCAGCAGCTGATTACCGTCTTTGACATAGAAATGCACTCCTTCTTCCGGTGTTCTTGCAACAACAGCACCATCAACCAGCATCACTTGATATTTCACTGCATTAGAAACAAAAATCAATCATTATCCTAACAATGAATATCAATTGCAATATTGCAGCCAAGACCGCCTAACACGCATACACTTGTCACTAATAGAAATGTCAACTAGTCAAAATGGCATTACAAAAGTGAATATCACAAAAGAATCAGTTAGATTACCCAGAACTTCATCTAAATCACCAGGTTGCCCAGGCTGTTCTCCCTTCTCCATGATTTTCTTGATAATTCCACCATCCTTGCAGACATCTACCACTGTGATCCATGAGAGGAGTTCTGCTTCAAACTGTACAAATGAATTCGGAGGAACGCCATCCGTGCCCCTGGCTCCATACCCCAATTCAGGAGGTAATGTGAACAGCGCTGTCTCCCCTCTCTTCATGGTAATAATCCCATGATCTAACCCAGCAACCAATTGACCTAACAAACCATCATTGAATCAAGCAACATAAATAAAACCCATAATTCAGGCTTCCGCAATCTCATAAAAATTAAAAATTAAAAAAAAAAGGTTGAAAACATTAAGAGAATCAGCAGTAATACACTCAGTTTAAGGACAGATTTTTCTATATGGGACCCGATGGTTGAAAATGGCTACATTATAAAGTTCATTTTCTCTCCCACAATTTCTCAGCAACCAAACAGAGCAGAATGCATACAAAAGAACAAATAAAGAAAACAAAACAAACCCAATATACACTTCAATATAGAGAATTCATAACTCACCACAGCCAAGCTTGAAAAGGAAGGGTTTATCTCTATCCCTGGTGGAATCAAACTTAGTCCCATCAAGTAAAGTGCCCACATAATGAACTGTGTTCAAACAAACAAATCAGCTTCGCTAAAACAAAAAGTGAACCCAAAATATGAAAATACACAATCAATCAATCAAATACAAAAATGAATTATAGATACAGAGAAATCCATACGCATAAATCGTCCACAAGAAACAAAAAGCGTTAGAGAGAGATGTGTCTGTCTTGGGGACAATGTTAGTACCAGTGACTTCGTCGCCGAATTCAGGGGTCTCCCAACCAAGGCCACTCTTGAGGAGCTTCTTTTTGAGACCAGAAGAGGAGTAGATTTCTCTCTCTTCACCGACCTTGAGAGGCGGTGCTGATTCGATGACCTCCCCAGGTTCTTCGTCTTGCTCGTCCTCGTCCCCAATGTTCGAAACATTGCTCGCTTTCTCTGCAGCCATTGCTCCAACGTCGTGGTTGATCAATCGAATCCAATTTGTGAGTTTTGCGAAGCCTGAACTATCAATCGAGAGACAGTGGAGAGAGTGATGAGTGGTGGTCATGAGTGTTGGGTGCGTGGCAGCATTTGTAGATTTATGAAAAACCAATGGTTTTTTTGGGTAATTAAGAACAAAAAGGAGTTGGCCTTTGATGAGGTTCCAATCCAATTCAACCTCATGTTCTAAATCCCGTCCAGACCATTAAGACGGAAAACAATTAAAACTGATGAAACTAAAAACTAAAATGACAAATTACATGGTAACATAGGGAATGTGCAAGTACTTCCTTGTCTTTAAGTTGTTTATAATTTTTAAATTAAGCAAATAATGATTATTCTTCAATTTGAATATAATTAAAATAAAAAATAACAAATTACGCTTACGGCATAATTAATTAAGGTGAAAAAAACCCATGCTGTATATAGAATGGACAAATACTTTTGGGGGAGGGATATTTTTGTTATGGGTGTATATGGTTTGGTTTTGACCTGTTTTAGAGTTTTTTGAAACTAAACCAATTCTAATGAATTCATAAAATTTGGAACCAAACCGAACCATTTAACCAAAAGAGTCAAACCAACCCAAATCGTGAAAAACCGATGCACAACATTTAAAACTATTAATATATTCAAAACTTTTAATTCATTCTTCTCTATCACTTTTCAAACTGAAGTAAATACATTCAGAATTGATAATAACCTAATACATTTAAAATAACTAATTCAACAACAAACAATGAACCGCTATATATATATATATATATATATATAATAAATTAATAAGACCTAAGATAATTAAGAGTGAGCCTAGTTGTTACAAACTTGTAAGAAATGGTTTCACGGAATTCAGCCAATTATTTTGATCGTGGAATATCATTGAGAAATAGGAATCCATGAGATTATATTATATTATATATACTCTATAATTTAACATAAATATATATATATATAACATAACGGTTCGGTTCGGTCTAATTCGGTCCTAAATGACCTCAAACCGTGACCAAATCGTATCTTTACAGTTTCGCAAATTTAAAATCATGACCAAACCAAATCATTAGCAAATCAAACCAAACTATCCGGTTCGATTTGGTTTGGTTTGGATTTCCGGTTTAACCGGATTTTTGTGCATCTCTAATTTTTGTCACTCCAAATGGGTAATTTTGGATTTAAAAAAAATTATGGGTAATTTTGGATTTAAAAAAAATTTTGACACCAGAATCGGCTATATTACTACATAGTAGGGGTGTTTTTTTTTTTTACTTTTTTGTAGAATCACAGTGTTTTTTTTTTTTTTTTTTTTGACACTTTATCCTAAAAATAAAAATAAAGTTGAATAAAGAGTAAAAATAAATAATGTTGCAAAGAACAAACAAGAAAATGTTTTAGATTTATATTTTGTTTATTCGAGATAATAATACAATCGTAGAATAGAATAATGAAGATGAAAGCATTGTCCAACCAATGTATTTTTTGGAAATAAAGTCTAAAGATAAGAATAGAATTTTGTTAGAGAGAGTAGCATTTTCCTTTAAAAAAAAAATGGTTGTTAAGCTGACAAAATGAGCTTAGTGAGAAAAACTGATTCTTTACCAGCCCACATTAAATGCATCAAACCTTTTTTAGCACAATGGATGGATGGTTGTTCGGTTTCGACTTGCTTCTTTCTTCTTTTAAAAAACCATTGTCTTTGACATTATTAAAATATAATGACGGTCAAAAAAAAAATATATTGATTGTCCTGTCAAAGAAATTTAAAAATGGTCACTAAAAGAAGCTAGCATCGAGTATCATAGTGTCAAAATTATTGGTCTCGGTCAATTATAAATTAACACATAAATAAATATGTCAATTAACTTAATTTTTTACTTTTTATTTATGTACCAATCAACATAAGATTAGCCTAAATTAATGATCCGAAATTATGTAATAATTTTATTTTTTAATAAAAACTCAAGTCTAGCAAATATGTAGTATAATATACGAAACGGAAAAACGCACCAGACCCAGCTAGACTATGATGTGATTGCAAGAAACCCTTTGAAATAAGTGAAACGTCACTGAAGTATCATTTTGTTGCAAAGTCAATTAGCCGGAGAAAATTAAATTACCTTTTAATCCTTAAATTGAACACGTCGTTTTAAGTTCCTATCTAACTTCAGCTACAATCTCAATGTCCAATAGAAAAGTGACAACACATTATCGGCTGCTGACGTTTTCTTTTTTTTTTTTTTCCCTGAATGTTCCTCTTCTCTCTCCCCCCTATCTTTTTTCCTGACTGTTTTCTGACCGTGGACAGAGACCACCATCTCCGGTGACGAGAGGAAGAGGCAGTTCCTCTCCGATCACTGAAATCTAAAAATGTTCGATGCAATCTGACGGCGGCACCCATGTTAGTGAGAAACACAATATTCTGGCGATATTTGCGCCACCGCGTCCACCGCCGGAGCAAATTAAGCAATCATCATCGGAGACGCCGGCGGAGACCGTGAGAATCCACCGCCGGCGCGATCAAGCAACTGGAGATGGAGGGTTGGGTTGGGTTGGGGGAAAGATGAGGACCCAATCAGAAAATGGCCTATTTTGTCGGTAACTACAGAGACAGAGAGAGAGAGAGATATGTATATATAATTTAAAATTTTTACTCCTAACCTTACTCATATGCTTTCATTTCTGTTAGATTTTTAATAGTGACGTAACCATTTGCAACAAATGAGCTAATTTAAGGGGTTAAGTCTATTTTTTATAATCAAGGTGAGTTTATTGTGAAGAATAATGATACACCGACTGAATTTAATAACAAAATAATATTCAAAATTGCCTCATCACTCACTCATTCATTAAATGAAAAATTTTACCATTTAAAAAAGACTATTTTACCCTAAAAAAACCATCTAAACCCTTTCTTATTTTTCTCTCAAAATTCCTCCATCTCTATTACTGTCCTACCCGCCTCTCCACCTCCACCGTCACCATCTTTCTATTCAGCGTCTTATCCACCCCTCCACCGCCACCATCTCTGTGTTGCCCCCACCCCTCAATTGCCACAATCCCTTAGCTTCACATCTCTCCCTAAAAGATTTTCAAATTTGTTCCTTCTTAATAACCCATCAAACTTTTCAAATTATCTATTCATTTCTATTGTCTTCTTCATTCAAAGAAGAGTCAGAAAACCCAAATCAACAGTACACCATGACATAGATGAGTAGAGTCATGTGACAGATGCGAAATTGAAGAGAGATTAGGGCATATATGTGAGTGATGTGAAATTGAAGAGAGAGAGAGAGAGAGAGTCAAAATCGGAGAGAGAATAGAGAAGAAAAATTATGATTTATTTGCTGGTTTGATGGGTCACCATTAATTTTTCTAGTGAATTGTTAAATTGAATGTTGGATGATGATACAGTCTTTCTTGTTCATCGCTTGACCCTATCTGATTAACTAAAGATTGTAGATCAAGGCAGGGAATTGCATACTTATTGATGAGACGATGGGATTGTGGTTGATATATATGTGTGTGTGTGTAGATATAAAGAGAGAGTGAGAGTCATTTTGAACACAAAGATTGGATGATTATTTTGAGAGAGAAAACGTGGAAGGGTTTGGATGATATTTTAAGGGTAAAGTAGTCTTTTTAAAATGGTAAAATTTTTCATTTAATGAATAAATGAGTGATGTAACAATTTCAAGTCTTAATCGGTGATTAATTTCGGTTGCCCTATTATTATTGTGAAAGACAAAAAAGTTAGGAGGATATCTTATCAGGTGGACAAAATCAACCGAATTTTAAAAGAGTGCCAACCATTTGATGGGACCTAGTTCCCATGTACTTTAGATTGGCTGGCACTACTTTCGGTCTTCAGCTTTGGTTTGTTTTGTCACTTCATTTGGCACAACAAATTAAGCATGAAAATGTTTTGATGAAACAGTTTCCTGAAACTGAACAAAGCATATGAGTTTTTTTGTATTATTTCTTATTTTCAATTTTTTTGCAAAAAGAATAAAAAATTATTCTTAGAATTACTAGTTGCCTTTGCCACTGCCAAACTTCATTTGGTCTATTATGTTTGTTGTTTATTTTCTTGATCTCATCCTTTAACTAGTTCGGCATGCCTTACGTAATCTTGTTGTACGGTGGTGTGTAGTGTTATGTTGTTTGCCAGGAATAAAAATTTTAAAAAAATATAAAAAATCAACATTGCAATATCTTAATTCATAGTTTAAATGTATAGTAGTATCCTTCTAATACACTATAGTGTGACAATAAGTTTCTCTCAAAAAAAAAAAAGTTTCATTTTGTATGGGAATAATCAAATATTACACTTCAAATTAACCTATTAACAACAATCACCTTTCGAGCACAAAAAAATGAAACAAACCTATCAAAGTTAACAAAAAAGACACTAAATGAAACAAACCAGAGAGAGTAAAAGAAATCACTAATTAAGTAGAAGAGACGGCATAGCTTTTGCTTCTTGGGTACAACAACTCAGCCCTCACACGACCACGACCATGAGCATGAGCATGAACATGATCTTCTTCTTCACCAAAATCACAACAAGGCTTCTCTTCATCAATTTTACCCATCCCCACACTGCAGCTCCTCAGCACCCCCTTGGGTCCCTTCGCCGCCGTCGACTGCCTCAGCTGCTGCATGAGCAGATCCATATCAACCCCATTCCCCATGCTCCTGCTAGAGGCAGCCCTAATCAGCTCTCCGAAATCGTCGTCGTCGCTACACCTCGACCTCGACGAGCTAACACTGAAGCTCTTGGGCAAGCCTGCCGATCCGCCGGCCATGTTGCCATAATTCACCGTCTGAGAACACTCGGTGATGCTTCGGACGTAATAATCCTTTGCTTTGATCAAAACCCTATACGGTATCGTAATGAAGCGCAGGAACTTGTTGTTGTTGCTTGCTTTTGTTCTCATGTTGCACCTGTTTTTGAGTGGTTTTCACTGCCAAACAAAGTCGTAGAAGAATTGTAGACAGATATAGAAGCTTTGCATGAAAAGTTAGGATGAATTGATATGAATATGCAAAAGATAGTGTAGATATACAAGAAACTATATCACAATTTCAATGGAGTTGGGGTTTGTTTATGGAGAGAGATCTAGAGAGAGAGAGAGAGAGACAGAGGGTTGGTTTGGATTGGACTAGAGAGAAATTTGGTGGAGTGCAGGTTTGAACACAGAGGAAGGTTTTTATGGACTTTTTCAAAGCACGCCAAACTAGAGAAAAAGAAATGAGATAAGAATAAGACAAAGTCGGTGTTGTACAGCGTATGTGTTACGTGGAACATTTAATGTATCGTTGGACAAAATTGGAAAAAGATGTACTAGTTGAAGTTGACTGGTGTTTTTCTACATGTTTGTTAAGTTCGTACTCATCTTATTGCCGATTCATCATGTACCTTATTAATATCCTAAGTTTTTTCTTTTTCTTTTTCTTTTTTTGAAATTTTAAGCAAATAATATGTATCAAAAAATATATATATGTATTAAAGTTTCAAATCACATGCTATTACTCTTGCTTTTGCGGGAAAATTATAAATTCAACAATTTTTTGGAGGATCCTCTATTTTCGATTATCTAATAAATCATATTGTTGAAGTAATGACTTTTAGTTAGCAGAAGACCAAAACTAATTAGAAAACTGAAATATTTCAACCTTTGCATTTATGATATATTCATAGAAAAAAATATACCCTTCAGCCCTTGTTGTATACATCGCATTCAATTGTCATTTACTTTGAATGTTACCAAAATGCCCTCATGCAATTTAAATGACAAATAGCCCTTATATAGTACTACCTCTGTTCTAAAATAATTATCTATTTTTTTATTTTTGAAGGTCCCAAAATAAATGTCATAGTTTATATTTAATTTAACATTTTTATAATAGTTTTTTTTTTTTTAATCCTTGACCCATTTTTTGAAATATAAAAATTTGTAAATAAAGAAGTATAACACGTCTATTCTGTTATTATTTATTTCTTTATATTATCTCTACCGAACAAAGGTACTTTATCCCTTCCTTACTACGGAGTATTTTCTTTTCACAACTCTTCCTTCCATTCTTATGGAACAAAGCATTAAGAATAGCTAATATATTTTTTAAATACACACGGGAGATTATTGTAATCTCGTTTGTTTAGTAGGAAAGTTAGTGCAATATATGTATATTAAATTAAATTAAAAATTAGTATAAAATCAAATCTTGCACAAAGTTGGAACTTTTTCTGTTTTTTTTTTTTTGGCCTCAAAGTTGGAACTTAAGTAGACCAGAAAGTTCAACCCATGAATTATGAAATTTAACATGCTAATCATACTTATTTATTGTGTGGAAAAAAATATTTATCATCATAAAAAATTGATAGAAAATTATAACAATATTATTATTTTGGTCAAAGCATCAAAAATCAGCAGCGCCGTTGTATTTATCAATAAAACCATTTGAATCACTTTGGTTCATCAACAAAGAAAGCTAGAATTATCAACATCACGTGTTTATTGTAGGTGTGTGTCTATGTACGTACCTACAATAAATCATATATCTGATTATATTAATTTTGACTATATAAGAAATGCAAGGAAAATATCCGAGTCACACTATTATTAGCTGTAATATGTTGAACTAATTATTATTTTAGCTTTGAACTTTGTTCGGGATTCAACTAACAGTGCAGCGTTGCAAATAAATCAGAGTTCTACTAGTACTGGAGAAGTCATTTTTGGAGTATGTCAATTAGAACCTCTAACAATTTCGAAATTTGCGGCCTAGTGTTTACTTGGAATATATTCGCTAGGACCAATATATATTCCAAGCAAACAATAACCAAAAATAGAGGGAAAATTTAAGTTGCCATGGAATGGGTAACTTGAGTTAATGTTTGCATATCTAATTGTTACATTTTTTATAAAGACATCTTAGTAGTAGTTTCAATTGTAGATAGAATTGATCTAAGTGTGTGTATATATATATATACTTAGTAAAAGGTACGTGCGATGCACGTGATAAATATTTTTTAACTTAAATAATTTATATTTTTATATATTTTTTTTAATTATTTATAGTTTTATAAATAAAAAATAGGCAAAATAGTTTCAGGCCCAGAATGCCTTAAAGAGTAATAATTGTCACATTAAAAAAAAAACAAAATAAGGTTTTCCATTGATACATGAATGAAAACTATAAACATTTAAAAAATATATGAAAATAAAATTCTATAATTTACAAAATATTCATAAATAAACACTATATAAAAATTTTATGTACTATAAAATCTGAAAGGGTACCAACAATTTTTAGATTGTAATAATTGTCACCTCAAAAGAAACAAAATAGATTAGAAAATCCAAAACTATAACTGTTTGAAAATAAAAGTATTCTTAAATTATTTATTTCTCAATCTTTATCTTTTTTTGCATATCTCATTTCTTCATGAAATGAATCATTGTCAAGTGTCAATTCTTTTAATTCTTCCACAACAAAATAAGTTTTCACGACTTCTTGTTGAGTATTATCTATCTTCACCAAAAAAAGAAAAGATTTTACTTTGCAACTTGTCACTTTGTTGCTGAATTCATCTATGTCTTTCAAAAAGAACAAATATAATTTAGAACTATTGAGAATTTAGAGCTATTGTGAAATTGAAGTAATTATTTCTTTAATTTAATTAAAATTTTATGAATAAGGGTGAAAAATTACCTCAATTTGTAATTGTAATAAATCATCTAATGAATATTTTATTAATATTTGACAATCATTGAACATTGTTAGGGTTGCAAGTGTGCCAATATGTTCCATACTTCGCACTTAAATTATCATCATGAATCTACATATGAGTAAAAACAAAGAATTATGTATTTGTAATATAATTAAACCATTGAAATAAATACAATAATAACAATTTAAGATATAATAATACTTTTGAAAGCATTTTGGGTCTTTTTCAACTTTAATTTTCTTGTTGCATTTCTCATACACGTTGTACCATGGTTCGCAATCATTAACGAGATTTTCAATTGTTACTTCGAAAGAGTAATTTGTGATACACAATTAAGGAAGATTAAGAAATATACTGAAATTTAATACCTCAAAGGACATTGTAGATTTTCCTATTATGTCTTGAAGTTTGACTTTTCAGCACCATTGAATTTTTTATCTTTTGTACTGGAAATCAAACTTGTTATATCTTTGTTATTATGTTCTCTTTGGACCTGTCCACATATAAATTATCTTGTAAAATAAGTAAATAAATAAAACAAAAAAACATGTTCTCTTTCTACAAATAGTGTAATACAAATAGTGTCTATATAATGTAAAAGAAGTTATAATAAATAACGAACCAATATCTTAATGCTTTGACACTTTCAAAATCCATATTAATTTGCAATGTAGATCATTTTTGTGTTTGGAGAGATAGACCTGGAATATACATTGTTATTTGTAAAAGTTTGTTATTATAAATTTTCTTAATAATATATAATGTAAATAATATCAATTTGTATGATAATTTACCTTTATAGATGTTGATTGCCACATGTGTAACTATGATGATAGGTCTTTCTTGTATTAACTCCATGATAAAGTTTCCTTCATTCTCAGCAAGATCCTCTCATAACGTCAAAGTAGTTGTCCATGAACTGTAATAAAGATTAATTACTTTAGTCATTATATTATATTTGCATAATTACGATTATATATATATATATAATATAGTAATGACGTACCTCATATCCATTATAATGACTTCCCGCTTTTTGGTTGTGCCTTTGTTGTTCTTTTTACATATATTCAATGAAGGAGATACCTCAATAACAATTCATAAAGCATCTAGCAAGATTAAAAATAAAATATTAATGTTAATTTTTTATTTTTTATTTTTTATATATATGTACAAGAGAGAACATATATACAGAGAGTTGAGAATTAAACGAAAACTAACCTATATTTTCTTTTACATCAGTGTACTTGTTCAGCTCCTTGAAGTCCACAAAATTAAATTTTATTGTTTCTAAGCTTACTACTTCAAGCTCCTCAACTTCAATTGAGGTGTTATTAAGAAACTTCAATTCAACAACTTCAGTTCCACCGTTCTGAATTCTGCAAGTCAAATAGTCAGTTTCTTCAAAAATGCTGAGGGTTATTCCTCAGACTGATGGTCAGTCGGAGCGTGCCGGTGTCAAATAGTCAGTTTCTTCAGGGGTTAAAATGCTAAGGGTTGTTCTTCTTGCATAACTACCGATTGTGCCGGTGTGGCCTGTGAACCTGCACCACTCTGTGCCCTGATCCGTGGATGAGGGCAATCCTTCCTCATATGACCAGGCTGCTTGTAGTAGTTGCAAGTCTCATGAAACCCTTCATCGAAGTTGTAGGCTTACTAGCCTGTGATTGACTGGTCTGTGGTTGAAGCTGTAGGCAACGAGGTTTGATATGCCCCGGCTGTTGACAATGGTGACAAATCACTCCCCGGGCTGATCCCGAAGATACAAGAACTGAGGGTGCAGACTGAGCCTGCTGTGACTGTCCCTAAGTGCGTGAACTGTCCCCGGCCTTAGCCTTTTTCCACTGACTCCCAGAAGATGACGGAGTGTCGCTGCGAGGCTGCTTATGTGAACCCCAGATCCGTAATTGATCCCGTTCCTCTACCTTAGCTATCATTGCCCTCTAGACCACCTCTCTGTAAGTCCTCAAATCAAGAATTGAGACCCGTGGCCTGATGTCAAGATGTAGTCCATCCTGAAATTTCATTGCCCTGGCCTCATCTATCACCACCATGTCCTCGGCATAACGAGAAAGAGAAGTAAATCGTGTCTCATACTCAATGACACTCATAGTGCCCTGATAAAAACCTATGAACTGTATCCTCATCTCCTGCCTCATAGCCCTAGGAAAGAAGCGCTCGAAGAACAAATCTCTGAACTCGTTCCAAGTTATCACCTCCACATCGTGGACATTGGTCATGGACCTCCACCAGATATCGGCATCTCCCATGAACATAGAGGCTGTCAAGGAGATCCTCAATCGGTCTGTAGGCCCTGCCATGCTATCAAGCTTGCGTACTATGAGATCTACCCATGCCTCTGAAGCAAGCGGATCCATACTCCCTGCAAACTGGTCGATCTTAACCCTCTATAACTTCATGAAGTAATCCAATGCCTCATTAGCAACTGGTGCCGGTACCGAAATTTACATCCC